TGCTATAATGGAGGCTTGTGAGCTTGGGAACATTAACATAGTGCATAGTCTAGTATCTGCTGGGGCTAATGTTGACCTTCAAAATAATGATGGATGGACTGCTTTGATGAAAGCAAGTCAAAATAATCATAGCACAGTCATTCATGTGATACTTGATGAAGCAGATTCTAATCCCCATCTACAAAATCGAAAAGGCTCTAATGCTTTAATGGTTGCTGCATTTGCTGGATGTTTGGAAGCCGTAGAACTTTTTATTACCAAAGGAGTCAATTACACACACCAAAGGGAAGATGGAGTGACAGCATTCATGTTAGCTTGTCAGAAAGGTCATATTGAAATTGCTGAACTATTGCTGACCCATGAAGTTGATCCTAATGTTACAAACAAAGAAGGTACAAATGCATTTATACTTGCTTGCAACAGTGGTCATACCCCAATTGTTAAATTATTGTTAAGCAGAAAAGTCGATCCTAATGTTTCAAACTTTAATGGTTGGAATGCCTTGATGTGTGCTTCCGCTAATGGTCATGCACAAATAGTTGAGTTACTACTAACAGAAACAGCTGTAGTAGTTGACATTAATGCATTTATGCTGGCTTGTGAAAATGGGCATTATGAGGTTGTAGAGCTATTGCTGATAAATAAAAGACAACACATTGAACTTAATGCTAAAAACAAAAATGGCATGACTGCATTCATGCTTGCCTGCAAAAATGGTCATAAGAAGGTAGTAGAAATACTACTGCAAGAGAAAGTAGATTTAAAACTTTTGAATAACAATGGCCTGAATGGCTTTATGCTAGCCTGTGGTGGTGGACACATTGAAATAGTTGAAATGTTGCTGAAAGCAAAAATCGATCCTAATTTTCAAAATGATCGAGGTAGCAATGCCTTAATTCTTGCCTGTGAAAGTGGTTGCAGTGACGTTGTTAAAAAATTGCTGAAAGTTATCAAAAGTCCAAATGTTCAAAATAACAATGGTGTAAATGGCTTCATGTTGGCCTGTGCAAATGGGCATACTCAAGTAGTCACTTTGTTGCTAAAAGAACAAATAAATCATAATCATCAAAACACCACTGGCCTTACAGCTTTAATGCTTGCTTGTGTAAATGGACATGTACAAATAGTTGAATTGCTTAAAAAAATAGTGGACATAAATGTTCAAAACAGCTATGGCATCAGCTCTTTAATGCTTGCTTGTGCATATGGGCATGCGAAAATAGTGGAACTACTACTACAGGAACAATTAATTGATATTCATGCCCAGAATTGTGAAGGGTGGAATGCCTTAATGCTTGCAAGTTACAAAGATAAAATAGATATTGTTAAACTTTTGCTGGAAGCAGGACTTGATCCAAATATTCAAAGTAAACGAGGATATACAGCTTTAATGCTTGCTAGTTCTGCAGGACATTATGATGTGGTTCAGTTACTACTTGAGGAAAAAGCTGACCCAACAATTCAAGCTACTGATGGTAATACAGCAATAAAAGTCGCCAAAGATGCTGAAATAACTCACTTGTGTCAAAAATACTGTTTGGATGATGACACAGATGAATCTGTGATGCAACCAAATCAAGATTTGGAAATAGCCAGCTCTGTAAAGTCTTTTTTAAGTTTTGTTGCAAGAACAAAATGTGGTAGTATTGTTTCATCTTTTTCTAGGAACTCAGCCAGTAGTGGCAGCTTTAGTATCTAGAATGATCTATATTTTATTATTTTACTGTTAGTTATTTTTGTTAGTATTTTGCTTTGATGTTTTGACACAATTGTTATTGCTTATTCTAATTTAATAAAGTTATATTTTATTTATTAAACTCAAATTCAAAATTAAAAGCCTTACACTTTCCACAATACAAATGAAGGCTGCACACAAGCCTCTGTGAGAGTCTGTGTGCTCTGCACCATGCAGTTTTGCAATTTGCACACTTGGTTTTAGGGCTGTCCCGATTATTCCGGAATAATTTTGGGAATAATAGGTAGCACTTCAATTTCAGAATAATGCTGGCCTAATAGGTGGATCAGTAGCCAAACTCTAATTAAAGAGCAGCAAATGCACAATTTTTGAATTTTTTAATGCCTGAGCTAGTTGTAACTCAATTTTTGAACAAAGTTCAGGCTCTGAAATTGATATAGAGACTCATATTTTGCAGTCTCTGCTGATAGTGATACTTTAAATAGCTTCTCAGACTGACTAATTTTCATTTTTATTGTAGTTAGCTCATGATTATAAAGAATGAAGTGAGAATAATGGGGCAGAATAAAAAGAATAATAGGCAAATTTTTGAGCATTTCTGAATAGAATTATAGGTTTAAAAAAAATAGCATAATCGGGACACTCCTACTTGATGTTGTGCAACCCTAGTCTCGCTAGCCATAATCATAGATATTAGACCCATAATGCCATAATGAGATATTATGCCATAATGAGCCAATTTGAACTGCCACGTGATTACACGTGACAACAATATACGGCCTAGGCTACTGGATACTCCTCTCATCAATGGCGTCTCTGGTGAGGTCTTTGGACCCCTACGCTCACTCATTTTTACTTTTATTCCTTGCTTTGAGCCCTTTTGTGTTCCTAGGTTAGTTATACTGAGCTAATCATAAATTTGTGTATTTTCACGCAAAGTACTTCTGTGATCAGTTTTAGATTTGTTTTTGACTTTCTCCACTGCACACTGAATTACAATTGTTAATTAAGGGCATGCTTATATTACTGAACTGAGCTTTATCCTATATTCCAATGTCCTAGTCAGTATTGAGCACCTCTATTTTTAGGTGTTGAGGGCCAGACAAGGTGTTATATAAGGAATAGATGTGTGAATGGTGATATTGCTCCATCACCAATTGAATGCTGTGCGAAGAAGATACCAGATATTCAGAGAGACTGTGGGGACAGAAACAGTGAGAATTGCAACGTGTATTTCACTGTAGGAGGTGGAAACTGCACTCCATGTTTTTGTAAGCAAATAAAGCAATGACATATTTTATTTGCATAGCTCTTAATTTATTAATTTTATTAATTTTTATTTTATTATCACTGGCATTAAACTATGATACATATAACTTTGATGAAAATCATGAATAATATTAGTGGTTTTGCTCAAATAACAGGGACTATTAAATCATTTCCTGGTAGCACAATGCCTATTGTGCTCTTAAATTCCATTATAGATATTTGATCTTTTC